AATGAAGGTCCTTACAACATTTATTGCAATAAGCCCTTCCCGTCGAAACAGAACGGCCTCACCATGAACAAGGCAAGGTAGAGCATAGACTTTCGGCCATGGCGACAAATCGGAAGGGATAACTAAATAATTACCAAAGGATATAAGCAGACGTCGAAGACAAGAAGAAGGTTAAGTTTTCTATCTCTAGTCTATATCCACATTCCACTTCTCTTTCTAACTTGCTCGTCAGAGGGTTCGCTGGGGGACTCCCCGTTCCCCGTTGAATTCTTGTGTAGGTCTTCTGGTGGGCTTGGTCATTCAGACACTGATTTGAGAAGCGTGGATCAGTCCGACCCGTTCCATCTGAAACACGGAGTATCATCAAGTTTATACCAAATACTGCCTCAGGTTTCATTTGACATGTGAGGGTGGGGTTAAAATAATCACAAAACAATCAAATAGACTAAAAACTTAATAAGATAAAATATTATATTCAAATCATAATCATTTCACTTTTTCTTATATAAAAATTAACATAACTAAAATTCAACATAAATGAACTTTTTAATCTGAAAAAAAAAAAAAAAAAAAACCCAATCCCCTTCGCAAATGAAAGCTAAGTTTGAGTGTGAATAGATTTAGACGTGACCTTGCCTGTGATGTGATTCCATCCAAACGTGGTGGGTTCGCACACACTCTGTTGGACGGATCTAGTCACAGTCGGCTGTGGTGAAGCTAACGGGAGTGATTTTTTCGATTTTGTTTTGATGTTTTAAATTATTTATATTATAAAATTTATTAAACATATTATCTATATAAAATATTAAATTAGTCAGATATATGTAGTCTCATAATTAAATTTTAATTATTTTTAAAATTATTATATATGTTTGTTTTTTTATAAAAAAATATAGTCTTGTTCTAGAGCTATAAATATTCAATTTATTTTATAATTTTTTTCATAAATAATCTATTCAACAAATATTATAATATCAACATTCAAATTATTAAAATGAATTCAAAACGAGGCCCCGTAAACCTCACCGCAGTTACTATTGTTCCGAGTTTGACTTTGTTCCGTTCTATTTCTGTCGGTTCAGCTTAGACAGGGCTTGAATTTACAGGCAGAGGAGACCATGGAAGATGACTGGATGGCTGAGACATTTTAATGGGGTAACATAGATATATTAGAATTTATTGATGCGTTTAAGAAGTATACATGATTTTAGGGGTGATTCTATTTTTATGTAGAATAATATTATATGTATCGATTAATGTATACATTAGTGTACTAACAGATAATGTGACATCATTTATATGGCATCGTGTATATGGTTTTGGGTATTTGTAACTTGTATAATAAATGTGTTCAATAATAATATCATAATACTAGTTAGTATATTAGGAGTTATTTGGGATGACCTAAATAAGTGCACTTTTTATCTTTTTATGAAAAGATGTGCAGAAAAGTAGAGAGGTGATATGATGAAAAAAAGATAAAAAATAGATTATTTTGCAATTGCCAAACTTGGCCTTACTGTGTACACTAATTGATGTATGTGGCACCACCGTTTCATATATAATTTTTTCTCAATTCACATATTTAGTGAAATTTATTAATACAATTTTATTTTTAAATCAAAATATTATAATATCTTTATGTTTTTTTCACCTAAATCTTAATTTTAAAACACTATAATTATCTTCTATTACCAGTCTCTCTCATCCATTTATCTCCTTTTATCATTTCTTTCGCCATCTGTTTGCGACTACTTTTAACCATGAACCATACACTCCTATAAGTCCCCTACTGCAAATCACCCACTTTCGGGATTAACTGTGGAGGTCTATGATAAAGTGGATGAGCTGAGAGTGGCGGCAGCGGCGATAAAGAGCTAAGAGTGGTGGCAAATGAAGGGTGGATGGATGAAAGAAAATTTAAGATTTTGAAATTGAAGATAAATGTACTATTGAAATAAAGAGATGTATACTGATAATTTTTATTTTTTTGATATGTATACTAAGAATGTGTTCACTAATGGCTAGTTTGGCATATACTCCCTCCGTCTCAAAATATTAGTCCCTTATTCCATTTTTCATTGTCCCAAAATATTAGTCCCTCTTTATAAATCAAGTACAAAAATAATGTAAATTTCTTATTTTGCCCTTCTTTTAAATTAATAAACAATTTAAAAAGTACAATTATGACATTCATATTCCCAAAAAATATACTATCAAAAGGGTAATTTTGGAAAACCAACTTTTTTCAAATGCAATAAGTGTACTACCAAAAAAAGTTGGATTCCCCAAAAGGGACCAATATTTTGGGACGGAGGGAGTACTAAATAAGCCAAAAAGTCAAAAAGTCACTATCTTATTTAAATCACATCACCTCTCTAACACATCACATCAAATCCAACCCAAACCCACCAATAAGTCAAAAAGTGCACTTTTTTAGGACATCCCAAACCAACCCTAAATGTATGCATTGAGGGAAATTGGTATGTAAGAATAGAGTTACTCATGACTTACAAGTATTTAAGTCCACCTAACGGAATTAACTGGTAATTTTTCCTTAAATTTATGGTTCTTTATATTAACCTTGGCAAATATTTTTTAATAATTTTTTATTGAATTTTTTTTAGGTGCTTTAGCCTAGAAGCCCACAAAACTAGAAAATATTTGGCTAATCTTTTTTTTTTCCGTAACTTTTTTCCTTCAAATTTGGCCAATCTTTTTTTTGTTTGTTTGTTTATATTATTTTGTAAGTCCTTTTAGTTTAGAAATACCTACAAATTAAAAATAAATTTAAAAAACATTCAGTAAATTTGTATTCGAAATCTTGGATTTATAAAAGTTAGAAAAGACTGTTAGTTGGCCCATAATTCACTATGTTCCCCTGTTTTGGATATATTAGCTATACTTGGGCTTCCATCCAAACTAGGGCCGAAGGTTTTTGTATAATCACTGGCTTGGCCCAAATTGTATTTATCCAAATTTCGCGAGTTCTTGGGGGTAACTAGTTGGCATTCTTTACAAAAATGAAAATAATCAAGGAATGACAAAATTTATGCATTTAAATAATAAAATTTAATAAATAAAAAAATTGTAATAAGAAAAAATAATTAATTTAAGTCTCGTTTGTGACTAAAAAGTTATTGTATTGACTTAAACAAGTTTATTTTGTTTTTTTTTTTTAAAAAAAAAACCTAGTTCATTGAATAAATTTATTTTTTTCCTAAAAAACTTACTTTAATCATTACAAAACTAAAAATTTAATAATATGTCAATAAATTAATGTGTTTTAATAATATCTTCTTCTCCTTCTTCTTCTTCTTCTTCTTCCTTCTTTCTTTTTTTTTTTTTTTGGGCAGACTTAGGTTTTTTTTTTGAAAGTTTAAAATTTAGCTAAAAAAATTAGTACAAAAAAACTAACTCTTCTCCCTACTTTTTTTTCATGTCTGTTTGTAAAAAGTGAAAAAAAATTATTAAAAAAAAATCATTTCCAAAACAATCTTTTATTGAAAGCTCCTACTCTGTTTTCCGTTTTGTGGTGAGACCTTTTTTCTATTAAGGCCTATTTTAAGAAGATGGTAAAAAGTAATTTTTTGGATTTTTAATCAAGTTTTTGACTTTTTTAAACAAATGATTTAGAAAGTTAATAAAAAGTTACTTTTGACTTTTTTGATTAATATTTATTTATGATGTCAAATTAAAATAAAATGACTAAACTACCCCTATTCAATTTAAAATATTTACAACTCCACCCATGTAATACATTTTGACCCATGAGGGATAGAATTGTAATTTTACCAGTGACTAAAAACCAAAGTCAACTTTTGAGTTTTGCTACAAACCTAAAAAAGTGATTAAAAGTCAAGTTCTCAAAACACTCCTAAAATAGTCAAAACACTCAATTACATTTCTTTGTGGGTGTGTTTGGTTTAGTTTTGAGAGATAAATTTTTAAATAAATTTTTAGAAAAAGCGTTTAGAAATATTTTTGGTTTGTTTGGTAATATATTTTGGAAATAGTTTTAGAGTATGGAAGTTTGGAATGATTTGATATTTTGTTGTACTTGAGTAGATGTGTATGAGAAAAAAAGCGATTGAGAATGAGAGAGGAAAGAGAAAAAGTGATTGATTGATGTGTAGGAGAGAAAAAGTTATTTTAGAAAAAAAATTTTCCAAAATCACTAAACCAAACAAGATTTTAAAAAATTTTCTCTACAATTTTGTTTCTAAAAAACAAATAAAACAATGCCTCTATTTTTTTTACATGTCTTTTTTTTAAATAAAAAATTAATTAAATTAGTCAATTCTCAACCGAGTTCTTGGAGGGTATAAAAACAATTAATTACACCCTTTGTCTAGCAATGACAATTTTAATCAAAAAAAAAAAATCATTTAAAAAAAATAAATTCACATAAAAAAATCAAAAATTCTTTCTCATTCATTGACTTTTTACACAATATTTTTTTAAAAGTTAAAAATTATTCACAAGCATATTAATTTTTGAAAAATGATGCATCTCACCAATTTTTTTTTTTTGGGGGGGGGTTTATTGTTCTTAATTTCTTTATCTCATATTTTATTAAAAAATTATCAAAAAAATCATTTCCTAAACATATCGTAATTTAATGAGCCAAGTTATTCAGAATTTGTTGGACATCCTCTAAAAAGTGTTATTTAGGTCATATTATCTCTTTTTTTTTTTTTAAAGAAAAAACAAAAAAATTCACACGACTTAGTTAAAAATTTTAAGATAATAATTAAATTTGAAAATTTAAAAATTAAAAAAAAAAAGTGATTTTGATGGTAATTTAATTAGGGTCAAGTTTGGGAAGACTAAATAAGTATACTTTTTGATTTTTTTGTATTATGTATAAAAAAAATAGAGAGAAAATATTAATTAATGTGACCAAAAAAAATAAAAAGATAAAATAAACGTATTTTTTTTTAAGTTAGCCAAACTTAACTTAAATTTTTTTGTTGAAGGTATATATCGGATGAGAGAGAATAGATGATGATGATGGAAATATGAGGCAGCTGATTAAGCGGGCAAAAGTAACTTTACTTTGAGAATTAAGAGGTGATCAACTTAGCCATTGCCATTGGGTCTCTAAAATTGAGAATTTAAAGAAAAGTCAAAAGCGATCTAATGGCGGCGGATCAGAGAGGCGCAGACTTCGAGAAGAAAGCCGATAAGAAGATCGCCGGCGCCGGCGGTGGCTGTGGTTTTTTCGGCTCTTCCAAATTCGAAGATGCTTCTGATTTGTACCAAAAATCCGCCAATTCCTTCAAACTCTCCAAATCATGTACTCTCTCTCTCTCTCTCTCTCTCTCTCTCTCGAATTCCGTTTGTTCAATTCTATGCTTGGTAGATCGATTTGTAACCACTGTTTGCCTGCTGAGAAAATGGAAGAAAAGTTTGGGAACTGAAATTTATAGGTCATGTTACACTTTACCCCTTATCTATCATTTCAATATTACTTTACATCTTTTTAAATTAGGAAAAATTATAACTCAGTGATGTTTTAGAAAATAATTACAAATTTATGAAAAAAATTTATTTATTAAAATTTATCATTAATTTATAATTATTTTTTGCAAATATAACTGATGTAATATTTCCACTTTAAAGTATAAAAATGTTGCTAACAAATGCCCTACAGTATAAGAAAATGATTTTTAAAAAAAAAATGTCATATTTATTACTAAATTTAATACATTTTTATAAATTTTAAAATATTTAATAATTTTTTTTATACTTTTTCAATACATTTTTACTCACCTTTTGCAATGGCCTCGTTTGGAACTGGCCTATTTTAATTGACTTTTTACTATTTTATGAGATGAAAAAAAATTGTGTTTAGAGTGATTTGTAAATTTTTTTATACTTAAATAGATGGTTGCGAGAGAGAAAAATTGATTGGTTGGTGAGTAGGATGTGACAAAAAATTAATTGATTAATGTGTAAAATGTGACATTTTATTTTATTAATTATTATTGTATATATATTTTTTTGTCTTTATTAAGTATTTTAACCCACAACCTTTGTTCCCAAACAAGGCCAATATGAACAAGTGTCGTGGGATTGTTAGCATTTGCCAATTATAAAAAGGAAATTTGAGTAATACTCCAGAAATTTTACTAAGGGCTAGTTTGGCATATACTAAATAAGTCAAAAAGTCACTATCTTATTTAAGTCACATCATCTTTTTTAAATCACATCACCTCTCTAACACATCACATCAAACCCAACCCAAACCCAACCCAAACCCACCAATAAGTTAAAAAGTGCACTTTTTTAGGACATCCCAAACCAACCCTAAATGTCTCACATGTGTCTCACGTCCATGTGAGACATTTGATAGAACTTTTGATAGAATTTTTAGAGTTTTCTAACATTTTTGAGAAATTTTTGCCCCCTAAACTATTATGGAAGGATTAAAACGACAATTTTATTCCCCTTCTGGGTAAAAAAATATTATGGAAGGACAAAATGACAAGAAAGGGTAGACAATTTTTCAAACATTTTATAATATTTGAGGTGTCATACGCATATTAATTTTTCATCCTTAGGCCTCGTTTGGAAACAGATTTTTTTAGTAACTTTTTTATTGTTTGGTTAAAATATAATGTAAAAAAAATTAGTATATTTGGAATGATTTTTTGATTTTTTACGAAAAGATGAACAAAAAATAGAGAGAAAAAGAAATCTTTGACTTTCTTATATAGATTATTGATCTTTTGATTTTTTTAATAATTTTTTTATTTTTTAGTTAAAAAAGTCACTTATCAAACGAGACGTTAGTAGAAAGTTGGTAAAGTGTAGTATTTTTTAATTGAAGGATTGAGTGATACAGAATCATAGTTCAAGAGGTAAAGTGTAATCTACCCTACTGTGTATGCTATCAGAAAATGTGAAACTTCTACAATTCAGCTTTCTTTTCTTTCCTTTTTTTTAAAAAAAAAGAAAGAAAAAAAAGAAAGAAATTTGTTTTGGTAGATTGCCACATAGTTGTTCAGTAGTGTATGAGAAGTGAAACAATTGATTGGGATTGTTGCTATTTGTTGTATGATTGGAATATTTGGGTTGCATATAAGTGACAGTTTTAAAATGTGGAATTCAGCTTAAGTTTTGCGATGTTAAGGGGATCTTAAAATGGGTTGGGATTTAATTTGAGACAAGTAAAGCAAATTAATGCCTTGTTTAGATCATGAGTTTGGAAAGGAAAAAGATAAAGGTAAGTGAAATGTAAGTGAAATTTTATTATATTTTATTCACATTTTACCTATTACTATTTCCCTTTCTCTTTTCAAATCTGTTCTCAAATCCATGATCCAAACACGACACAAGGGAGCAAATAAGGGAAACTTTGAAGGGGAAAGCTCCAAAAAACGGTGGTAAAAATGGTATGCAATTCTTTGCTGCTTGTTTGAAGTATCAAAGCATTGTCTTGTGAAATATATTCCAATTGTACTTGCAATATTTAATAAGGAAAAGATTAATGGCTCTCATGATTTATATTTTGCTCTCTATGCACACTGTTGGGAGGGATGAAGTTAGACCATCTCCAACGGTGAATCAAAGTTGGTATCAGATTCAAATTTTGATAAAAAAGGTATTTTTTTATGCTCCAACCTTTGCACCAGATTGATATCAAAATAAGATTTCAGCAAAAAAAAGTATCAAACTGAGAACGAGACACAGATTTTACCAAATCACTGTTACAATCACTGTTACTGACCGTTGAAAGAGGTACACTGGTCAACCAGCCGGTTGCCCGGCCGGTTGACCAACCGATCGACCGCCTAAAGGTTCAAATGGTTCGAAGAAAAGGTTCAAATAATAAATAAATAAATAAATAATTTTGCCTAACCAGTCAACCGGCCGGTCGTCCCGAAAAAAGTTCAGAAAGTTCAAAAAAAAGTTAAGACAATTCGCGAAAAAAAAAAAAAAAAAATGCCTAACCGGTCAACCGGCCGGTCGACCACCCGGTTGTCCCGGGATAGATTTGGTGAAAGGTGAACCGTTGGAGTGAGTGGTATCAAATTTGATGAAATGGGTCATTTTTAACTCAAATTTGGTGAAAAATTTGAGTCACCGTTAGGTTGCTCTTACCAGTATTTTAGGGCTTACTAATTTGTTATAGATATTGTTGACCAGGGGATAGAGCTGGATCAGTCTACATCAAATTGGCTAATTGTCATATGAAGGTAATTGTTGGGTTTTACATGACTAGCATTCTCATCCTATTATTTTAACACTACTATTTCATTACTACGTACTATTTGCAGTTGAATAGCATGTATGAAGCTGGAAGTGCTTGTGTAGATGCTGCAAATTGCTATAAGAAAACCTCAACCACAGGTGCGCTTGGAGTTGACTCGTTAATATACTTTGGAACTTGCGAGGTGGAACCATGAATTAAGTCTTGTACGCAATGGGTTATGCAACAAAACTGGTTTTGCATGAGACTTACATTTTCATCTATGCTTTTGCATTTGCTTTAGTTTGACTTTCTTGAAGCCAAGTTAAATTTCTTTCTGATACTATCATTTGGTGCTCCGCAGAGGCTGTAGCTTGCTACAACCAAGCAGTTAATATTTTTCTGGACAATGGCAGACTTCATATGGCTGCAAAATATTGTAAGGTAAAATGAGGTTTATCTCCCGGCATCCTCAATTTTGCCATTCATTTTTATTCTTGTCTATATCTCTAAGCTTTGAGCTGCTTTCTTGCCCTTTTGTGTGATTTTTTGTTTCATCCGTATGCACTTAAAAAGTGTATAGTTCTGGGATTGAAAGTGTATAAGCGTTCAATGCAGCTGACTTGGGCTTTATATTTGGTTCAGGAAATTGGTGAGTTATACGAGCTTGAAAAGAACTATAAGCAGGCAATTGTTTATTTTGAACGGTCCGCTGAACTTTTCCAAGGCGAAGAAGTAACAACTTCTGCAAATCAGTGCAAGTTGAAGGTTGCAATGTTTTCTGCACAACTAGAACAGTAAGTTATGTCAGTTCATGTTATTTCTTCTTATAGAAATGTCTTGTTTCTTCCTGAGAATCTACAAATTGGGTGTAGCTTGTATTGTTTTTTCCCAAGACCTCCTCCTCCAAAATGTTGTGATGTTCCTACCTATGGATGTTGCCAATGGGTTACTTGGTAGCCCTTGGCTTTAGGATGAAGCTATGCTTAACTATGGAAGAGACATACCTATGTCTTTAAGTATGATGGTTATACTATATTGTTGAAACCTACAAAACCCACTGACAAAGATAAGAGTGCAAAACATAGGCCTTCATCTCAGGCACACATTCAACAATCCTGTTCATAGCCATCACTCTGATCTTACTTTCTTCACCCCCTGATACCATCCTTCTCAATCAGCTGAGCCTTTTGCTCAATTGTGTTTGAAACCTACATGCTGATCTTAGGAAGAAAGTTCATTTAAATAATGACAGAATTATAGGCATTGCTCATGTGCATAGTTGGAAACTAGATTTTAACAAAGCTGTTTCTCAGTATACTATGCACCTTGAGCATTAACATAAAAATTCCTTTAAAAAACTTCATGCTCTAGCCATTAGTCCTTTCTGTGGCTTGGCTAGTGCATTCAGATATGAAATATCAGGTTAAGGCTTACTACAGCCGTAAAAGGAAGCAACTTAAATTTTAGGCCAAGGCTTATTTTTATTTCCCTTTTATTTTCAATTTTAATTTTTTTTTTTATTTTCTTATTGGATTGTTACTTTATTTAGGTTTACCTATGCAAGGGCTGGGTGTATCGATTATGGGAGTTTTTGGTGTAATTGAGAATTAAACATTTTGAAATTCCTCCTCCTCCTCTCTCTCTCTCTCTGTCTCTCTCGTTTGTTCTACCCTCTCTGCCCCATTTTGCGTCCCTGCTTCTTCCCCTCCCCCTTTTATCTCCTCCACTTATGGTGATCCTGTCACTCTTCCTTACTATTGCATCTATAATATTGTTAATTAATACGGCTGCATCTCGACGTCAATTAATATTGTTAAAAATATACAATTCCCCCCTATGATATGTAAATAAAGGTAAGTGTGAAAGCATACCCTACATAAAGTGTGTTTGTTTGTGTTATCTCCAGATACCAAAAGGCAATTGAGAATTTTGAAGAGATAGCACGACATTCTCTCAACATAAATTTACTCAAGTATGGAGTTAGAGGACACCTTCTCAATGCAGGGCTTTGCCAACTCTGCAAGGGGGATGTTGTTGCAATAAACAACTCATTGGAACGATATCAGGTCCTCTTCTGTTTTTCTTCAGCATATTTAGTGTTCTTCCTACAGTGTAAATCCTTGAAAACTTTTTGATTGTTTATACAGGATTTGGATCCAACTTTTTCAAGGACACGGGAATACAAGTTTTTTGCTGTAAGTGGTTGCTTGCCTGACTATAATACTTCTAATTTTTCATGTATGTTATTCGTATCATTTTCCCTCATTTCCTATTTTTTGTGTCTGGTTGTAGGATATGGTTAATGGAATTTTTTTAAACAAAAACATGTACCGCTTCATGGCTTCCTAATTATTTAATTGTGTGTATACAGAAGAACCATATGGATTTGCAGCCATTAGTAGTTAATTAGATATTTATCCACCATTGGAATATGGTATTTTACATGTTATACTATGATGATTGCTTTCTTGATATTATAGTGCTGGTTGAACAAAAGGAATTGTTGTTCATGTCAGGATTTGGCTGCCACAATCGATGAGGAAGATGTTTTGAAATTCACCAATGTTGTGAAAGAATTCGATAGCATGACTCCACTGGTAAATTTCTTTCTGCCATTAACAGTGCCTCTTCTTAATTTGGAGTTGAATTTTGTAACTAGGAATATCTCGTGCTGTTGAATTTGCTAGGTTACAACTTCACTTGCACCATCTTCTTGAATTGCTGACCTAATATAGTTTTTGGAAAGTAGAATATTTGTCTTTACTGAAGCAAGAAATAATTGAAAAGATTGGTGATGCGGACTTTGTGGACTGATAATCTGCTTTTTTTCCTTTTCCCTTTTTTCAAGGAAGAACAACTTGTTGCTGTGAATAAATAATGGGGATAGTTATTCATAAAAAATCGTTAAACAGGGAACATGGAAACTGTTAGTTCTTTTAGTACTTGGTCGTTTATCATTTGCTTTGTAGAACCTGTTTACTAAAAATCATGACAATTTTACTATGGAGGTCTCAATCTTGAGCTCATTTTAGTTTGTGCTCATGGTGTGGAGTATGAGGTATTGATGGTTTAGTCATTGTTTTTGTCAATGAAAATAATCTCATTAAGAAGTTTTTTAGGTTGTGTTTGGATCTTGGATTTGTGGAGAAAAAAACTAGCCTTACTTTATTTCTCTTTTCCAGTATTTGGTCTCATGCATGGACCGCTTCTTTTGCTTGTGTTGGTTTGCTTGCTTAAATTGCATTTGACCAACTATTCTGCATTGTAGGATGCTTGGAAAACCACCCTTTTACTGAGGGTGAAGGAAGCTCTGAAGGCCAAAGAACTGGAGGATGATGACCTGACCTGAAATTAAATTTTACATTTTATTTCATTAGAAAATATTTGCATAGGGCTTGTATCTAGTAAATGTAAAGTTCACAAAGAACTGTTTTTTAAACCTTTATGATTCATAATTGAAGTCCTATTTTGATGCAAATTTTCTTGTAAAGCATAGGATTGTAGGACAAAGATCTCTAGTTCCAAAATCTCCATATCCATCTATCTCAAACTACTCGCAATTATTCGATCATTGAAAATCTCAAGTGTAGTATTATTAAAATATGAGATAATATATAAAAATCATATTCAATTTGTCGCACTACCTATCAACGGAAGTTGCTTAATTGTATTTACTAAATTACTTTCAATATTCATATGTATATTGTATTTACTAAATTACTTTCAATATTCATATGTATTAGTGCTAAGAGAATTTTTACAATTATATGGTAAGAGTAGGTGTGGAAGCTTCTAAATACACTTCGAAATATTTCTTTTTACATTCAACTTATGCATTTCTTATGCATTAAGATTCTTGTTCTATATAATATTTATTTTTTTAGAATGAGTATTGAAATAATTAATTTTTTAAAGTGTATTTAGCTTACAAAACACATTCAGCTTCGGCGACTGAAATGTCCTTGACCAATTTTATTGTATGCATTCATCATTTTGACCAATATTTAAAAACAATAATAAATATATTGAGAGGGTAATTTGTAAACAAATTAGGCTGAGCTAGGAAGAGTTTTCTTTGGGAGTTGGACCGCGTAATAGGCCGAGATAAGGGCTGGTGTAGCTCGATCTTAGGCCAAGAAGATATCTCATATTTTGGGTTTGGGCCGAACTATGGGCCAAGGTATCAGTAGAAGGAGGACCGAGCTAAAAGATAGCTCTGCAGAGCGTCATCTCAAAGTTAAGACTGACAGTGGTGCTTAAAGTATCACAGAGTCGAAGTAACTTGGTTAACCGCAATGTTAGCCGAGGTAAGGGTGTCAGCCGAGGTAAGGGTGTCAGCCGAGGTAAAAGGGTCAGTCGAAATAAGTGGGTCTGGTGGTTAGTCGATGTATTGGTGAGAAAGGATGTCAGGCTTGGTATAGCTCGGCCGGTTTTGGTATAGCACGACCAGGCGCTATCTACATCATTACCTAAGTGTGTGACCGAGGTAACTTAGCTTGGTGTGGTTGCAGCAGCTTATATAAAGGAAGTAACTATCTCACTTGGTTGGCAGTGAGTAAGAGTGTGACTCCTAGGAGAACTCTGCTAAGGAGAGTAGAGTCCTACTAGGGTTGTGCAAAACCATCTCACTTGGTTGGCAGTGAATAGGAGTGAGATTCCTAGGAGGACTTTGCTAAGGAGAGTAGAGTCCTACTAGGATTGTGCAAACCATCTCACTTGGTTGGTAGTGAGTAGGGTGTGTGATTCCTAGGAGGACTCTCATAGGGAGAGTTGAAATCCTACTAGGATTGTGCCAAGCAGAATCTATAAAAGCTCGTGACCAGACCTATGTACAGGTATCCCAATTCTTACTATAGAATACACAGAGCTTATTGTCTATTGTCTAGTTATTGACTTAGGCATCGGAGGGGTTTCCGGCACACACCCGCCGGTTAGCTCATGTTTGTGTTTTCAGGAAGTAAAGCGACGACGTTTGGAGGAGCGCAAACTTGATCAACAGGATCATACGAGAAGAATTATTTCATGCTCGTACAATTGGCGCCGTCTGTAGGAATTACACATAGAGCAAAACCTCTTGATCAAGTTTTCCTCTCTAGTTAAAAGCAATGGCGCACGATGAAGACTTGTCGCAATCTGCTATTGATGGGTAAACACCAGAAGGAGGTGGGAGGCGCGAAGGTTTACCTTCTATCCCACTCATGGCGGAATTAGATCCCCAGCGAAGGAATCTGCGGAGAAAAGCGAGAGAAAGGTGGGGCTCAAGTCCACACCATTCTCAGAGCCCTGATAGACAGAGGCGGAAGATGGATCATCAGGTTCTCGAAGATCGCGTAAAGGAGCAAGACGAAGTAATAAGAAGAATGGCGGCTGACATAGAGTCTATGAAGAGCCAGATAAAAGGTAAAGGGGTGACAGCAAAAGAAGGGCGCAAAGGCAACATACACTCTTGCCATTCAGAAGATCGTGATAGACAAGTCGCACCATCACAAACTGAAAGTAGAAACCTCAGGTCGGGCGATATATAATCAAAGACTTTCAGGACACGCTACTCCAGACCTGAGAGAATGAGGACTGAAAGGGCTCGAATGAGAGAAAACACTCAGGCTCGAGACCCTAGTAGAGTCTCCGCACTACAACGATTGGCTCCTAGAACACATGGAAGTGTCGAAGTTGGAATTCCAGAGCCATGCCTTGCCTATGAACCAGCAGACAAAGCGTTAGCAAGGTTGTAGAGCTCACCATTTATTCCGACAATAGCGAACGCACCATTACCCTCAGTCTTGGTGACCTGGGTTTAACATGGTTTGAAAGGTTGCCAGAAGGTAGCATAGCATCGTGGGCGCAACTAGCGGAGGCATTTGTGACCAGATTCAGAGCGAACACCAAGACACCAGTGGAGATTGACCAGCTTCTCTCCATAGACATGGACGAGAAAGAAACATTGAGGTCTTACAATAATCGGTATTGGGAGACTTTTAATCAGATTGGAGATTGCCCTACAAACCTAGCTATCGCACAGTACAAACGAGGTTTGCCGGCTGGCAATAAGTTGAGGGATTCAATGACAATGACGCCGCCCCTTACTATGGAAGTCCTAATGGAGAGAGTGCACCAACACATCCGGGTAGAGGAAGAGAGGGCGCGCACTAAAGCAAAGTCCGGCGCAACAGTGATACCAAATAAAAAGCTTTTTGGCCAAAGTTAACACGGTTGACAAGTAGGATTGACCGCGCAAAAGTCTTTGCCCGACTGGGGGGCAATAAAGAATCTTGGCGGGATTGGCCAGGATTTAGCTCTTCTTCAGCCAAGAAAAGGATCCGCGCTAAAGAAGGTTGGCAAAAATAACCAACATTTAGCTCTCCTAAACCGAGATAAGGATTTAAGCTGTAGGAAGTTGGCCAGAATAACCAACATTTCCCTCAAAGTTGGCAGGAATAACCAACTTTGAGCTCTCTTCAGCCGAGATCAGGATCTAGGCTGGAGAGGGTTGGCTGGAAAAACCAACATTTTGTTATCTTTAGCCGAGATCAGGATCTAGACTGGAGAGGGTTGGCTGGAAAAATCAACATTTTGTTCTCTTCAGCCGAGATCAGGATCTAGGCTGGAGAGGGTTGGCCGGAATAACCAACACTTCGTTCTCTTCAGCCGAGATCAGGATCTAGGCTAAAGAAGGTTGGTAGGTTTGACCAACAAATTTTTGAACTCTTTGGCCGGGATGATGATTACCTCGACCAAAAGCAGGTTGGCAGGTTTGATCAACAAATTTTTGAATTCCTGGACCGAGATGGTTATCTCGGCTAAAGCAGGTTGGCAGGGTTAATATAAACCAAGTTAGTCTGCTCGGCGAGACACAGAAAGAGCGACTCGCCGTACGATCACAAACTCGAAGGATATATACGTTGAAGGCAAAAAAGCAGAGGTTGTTCAAAATTTTGGAGGTATATGACGGTGGTAACAGGAGAACGAGAATAATGGGGGCACGCTATGTATCCTGGGAATGACGTCGTACCAGATTAGTAGAAAGACATGTTGAGCAACTGACAAGGCTTATTGGGGCCGAACAAGTTGTGAAACCGAACAAACTTTTTAGCTCGGCAGAATGAGGCGTTCTTAGCACGGCTGGAGGAAAAATAATCCCAATCATACTACGCAGATGGCATTAAGGGACAATTGAGAAGGTAATTTGTAAACAAATTGGGCCGAGCTAGAAAGAGTTTTCTTTGGGAGTTGTACCCCGTAATGGGCCGAGATAAGGGCTGGTGTAGCTCGGTCTTAGGCCAAGAAGATATCTCATATTTCGGGTTTGGGCCGAGGTATCAGTAGAAGAAGGACCGAGCTAAAGGATAGCTCTGCAAGGCGTCATCTCAAAGTCAAGACTGGCAATGGTGCTTAAAGTATCACAGAGCCAAAGTAACTTGGTTGACCGCAATGTTAGCCGAGGTAAAGGTGTCAGCCGAGGAAAGGATGTCAGCCGAGGTAAAGGGGTCAGCCGAAATAAGTAGGCCTGGTGGTTAGCCAAGGTATTGGTGAGAAAGGATGTCGAGCTTGGTATAGCTCGGCCAGTCTTGGTATAGCACGGCCAGGCGCCATCTACATCATTACCTAAGTGTGTGACCGAGGTAACTTAGCTCGGTGTGGTTGCAACAGCTTATATAAAGGAAGTAACCATCTCACTTGGTTGGCAGTGAGTAGAAGTGTGGCTCCTAGGAGGACTCTGCTAAGGAGAGTAGAGTCCTATTAGGGTTGTGCAAAACCATCTCACTTGGTTGGCAGTGAGTAGGAGTGAGACTCCTAGGAGGACTCTGCTAAGGAGAGTAGAGTCCTACTAGGATTGTGCAAACCATCTCACTTGGTTGGTAGTGAGTAGGATGTGTGATTCCTAGGAGGACTCTCATAGGGAGAGTTGAAATCCTACTAGGATTATGCCAAGCAGAATCTATAAAAGCTCATGACCAGACCTATATACAGTTATCTCAATTCTTACTATAGAATACACAGAGCTTATTGTCTATTGTCTAGTTACTGACTTAGGCATCGGAGGGGTTTTCGGCACACACCCGCCGGTTAGCTCACGTTTGTGTTTTTAGGAAGTAAAGCGATGACGTTTGGAGGAGCGCAAACTTAATCAATAGGATCATACGAGAAGAATTATTTCATGCTCGTACATATATATACAAAATATTAAATATGTTTTCAAGTGTGTTACGATTTATTTTCTTTTTACATGGAGATAAAACTTGAAGAAAGAAATTTCCTCCTCCCTTTGAAAAAAAAAAATGAAATGTGTATAGAATATATTACGGATTTTACTAATAAATATTTTGAGACACAAGAAAAATATAATTATAAACAAAAAAATAAATAAAAAAAGAGACGCTTTTTATTAAAATCAAAATATTTTGTAGTAAATTCAAAAGCGAACATTATCTTATCTAAAAGAAAAACAGCACAACAATTGTAAGATCAAAAATATTTATCAAATTCTAGAAACACTAATTAGTATATCAACTAACACAATAATTAACACACAAGACATATATGTGAGTTTCATCACTTGTTAACATGGTCCTACCTATTGAGGCTTATCTCATTTTGGGATTTCAACATAAAAGAATTTGATGAGCTTGTAAGACCTATCATGGATCTCTTTTTGATGATCTGAACCGTTTATTTTGTAAGATTCTCAATGTATATTATTCATGAAAAAAATTAGGACAATTCCATAATCGTAACATTTCTATTTTATCGTATTTATCACTAAAAAAGTAAATAGTCTATTTCAAAAATATATTTGTCGTTCATTTTTTTTAGACAAATGTGATAAAACGAAAATGTTATGATTATTGAATCAAACTAATATTTTTCATGAATAATACACATTGACGACCCTACAAAATGAATGGTCCATGACCTGTGGTGGGTCCTACTAACCCCTCAAGATCTCTTATGTTGAGATCCCAACATAAGAAAAATCCTACCTAATATTGTAGTTGTTGTTTCAATTTGTACACTAATTAGTGTTTATAATATTATTCAAAAATTATTTTGTAATTTTAGGACAAAATTTATTAATTAAAATACTGACACTTAGAAGGTATTTGGAAATAAGTTGTTTTAGTTAATTTTTGTACTTTATACAAAAAGAAATAATTTTTTTTAAAAAAATGATGTAGCTGGAAGTCTTAATCCAACCCAACTTATCAAACGAGGTCTAATACTTTTTGTTGAGTTTTTCAAAAACAACTTGATAAGTATTAACTATACATAATGTAAAATATTGTTTCCAAACCATTAAAATAAGAAAAAATTAGTCTAAGGTCATTATCTCATTTTTAGTAATGAACGAGATCCACAATATTATTTTATGATGTCTAAGGTCCCTTAACCCTACACCCATATATCACAAAGAAATTTGACTATCTCAAATCAAATCTCATTTCTCTCTCTCTCTGCCTTTCCTATTTTGTCTCTTTCTCTCTCTCTAAATCCAAACCACACTTGATTGAATCCCCAAATATTTCTTCCAAAAATGAATCAGAATCGGAATCCAAACCCAAATCCGAATCCAAATCCAAATTCAGAGTCGAAATCGCATTTGAGTTCATCAACATCGCATAATTTTCTCTGAATCTGCAAATTCATCAACCTCTAATTGTAATTCAAGAACTCCGGCGACGCAATTTGATTGTAGTGCCCTACATTGTTCAGCTCCGGTTGGTTTCACCGGAGAAGGAGCAACTTTTTCAACTAGTAATTGACAAATTCAACCCCACTACCATCACCACCCTGTTTTTGCTTCGACTTTAGCCTTCGAATTCTTCTCGTGCGCTTCAACACAGCGATGAAGAAACAGTCGATTTCCTTCACAACCACCACGAAGTTTATCTTCCGGTGACGAGTATTTTCCGATGAACCTTAGTAAATGACTTGGGCTTCTTGCAATCAACAAGGTAAATAGTGATCTGGTTCAGAGATATTTCGATCTTCTGGCTCAAACCCGATTGAAAATTCTTGAAATCTTGCGAGGCTTTAATCCTCACAACACACATGTTAATTTCTTGCTCACCATCGTAGAACACCACCAGAAAATTCACTCCGCCACGAGGTGATGGAGAAGGATGAAAGTCCAATGGAGGTAGGCGTTCAAGAAAAGTAGCTCTCTGGTTTGTTCAAATTTCTCTGGTAAGCCTCTGGTTTGTTCAAATTTCTCTAATTGTTCAAATTTCTGAAGTAGGTTTCTAGCTGTTCAAATTTCTCTAGTAGGTCTCTAATTTTCTTTGATTTCTAGTTTTTAACTCTAAATTGATTGTTCTTATTGCATTTATGGTTATTACTTTGGATTTTCTCTGCATTAGCAATTTTTTTAACAAAATTGAAATTTCTCTGAAGAGAAAAAGAGAATTTCTTTGGGTTTGATTTATACTTTTCAACTCCAAATTAATTGTTCTTATTGCATTTATGGTTCTAACTTTGGATTTTCTCTGCATTAGTCATTTTTTAACAAAATCGAAATTTCTTTAAAGAGAAACAGAGAATTTCTTTGGGTTTGATTTCTATTTTTCAACTCCAAATTGATTGTTCTTATTGCATTTATGGTTTTGACTTTGGATTTTCTCTGCATTAGTCATTTTTTTAACAAAATTGAAATTTCTCTAGAGAGAAACAAAGAATTTCTCTAAGTTGGAAAGAATTTCTCTGGAGGTCAATTTCTCTGGAGATCGAATTTTTTTGGACAAATTACATATACCCCCCTCGAGGTTTGGCTAAATTACAAATACCCCCTGAGGTTTGAGAAATTATAAATTCCTCCCTGAATGCTATATTTGCATAACAAATTAGGGGATAATTTGTTATGAAATTTAAACCTCAGGGGGCAAATTGTTATGAAAATACAAACCTTAGGGAGCGGGATGTAATTTCCGAAACCTCAGGGGTATCTGTAATTTAGCCAAACCTCAAGGGAAATTGATTGTTCTTATTGCATTTATGGTTATTACTTTGGATTTTCTCTGCATTAGCAATTTTTTTAACAAAATTGAAATTTCTCTGAAGAGAAAAAGAGAATTTCTTTGGGTTTGATTTCTACTTTTCAACTCCAAATTAATTGTTCTTATTGCATTTATGGTTCTAACTTTGGATTTTCTCTGCATTAGTCATTTTTTAACAAAATCGAAATTTCTTTAAAGAGAAACAGAGAATTTCTTTGGGTTTGATTTCTATTTTTCAACTCCAAATTGATTGTTCTTATTGCATTTATGGTTTTGACTTTGGATTTTCTCTGCATTAGTCATTTTTTAACAAAATCGAAATTTCTTTAAAGAGAAACAGAGAATTTCTTTGGGTTTGATTTCTATTTTTCAACTCCAAATTGATTGTTCTTATTGCATTTATGGTTTTGACTTTGGATTTTCTCTGCATTAGTCATTTTTTTAACAAAATTGAAATTTCTCTAGAGAGAAACAAAGAATTTCTCTAAGTTGGAAAGAATTTCTCTGGAGGTCAATTTCTCTGGAGATCGAATTTTTTTGGACAAATTACATATACCCCCCTCGAGGTTTGGCTAAATTACAAATCCCCCCTGAGGTTTGAGAAATTATAAATTCCTCCCTGAATGCTATATTTGCATAACAAATTAGGGGATAATTTGTTATGAAATTTAAACCTCATGGGGCAAATTGTTATGAAAATACAAACCTTAGGGAGCGGGATGTAATTTCCGAAACCTCAGGGGTATCTGTAATTTAGCCAAACCTCAAGGGAAGTATATGTAATTTGTCCAATTTTTTTTGAATTAATTTGAGGAATCTCAGACATTATAAAAATATTAAATGTCATTTATAATATAAAATCTTAATACCATGGACCCTTAAAAAAAAAAACAACTAACAGACTCTTTAGAAAAAAATAAAAATAAAATTAAAAGCTAACATTTTAATTTTTAACATCTTTTAAATCACGCCACCTGAATCTCATACATCTCCCACATATGCCTCAACATTTATCCCAAGAAAAATCCAAAAAGTAAAAGAAGGTCCTTGCCAAATTTGAGTCAAAAAGAAAAATGCAATTATAGATCAAAACCCTAACTAAATAATTAAATTTAAAATAAAAATGGGAGCTCAAACCTAGAAAAAGCAAAAAGAAAAAGAAAAAGTCTAATATGGAGTGCTGTTCTCATTATAATTTAAAAATCATAAATAAATTAAAAAATATTCAAAAAAAAGAAGAAGAGGAAGAAGAAGAGGAGAAAAGTAAAAGTAAGAAGCGTCAAACGAAGGCCAGTGTGTTCAAAATTCAAAAATCGCTTTTATGTTTTTTTGTGTGTCGTTGAACGATAGACGCAGCTTACTGAGAAACGCTCTGTTTTTGTTTCTTTGAAATGCCAGAGGTACGATTTTAACTTCTCATATACTGCTTTAGCTTTTGATTCCAAAATGTGATGATTTGGTATTTGGGTTCATCATAAATGACTGTAATATTGACCAAGATTTTTTAAAATTCATTGTTTGGTTGCCGAGAATCTCAGAAAGAAAGCCATGGAACTTGGAATCACAGCCAAATTTAAAAATTCCCTTCTGTTATATGTCTTTTTTAGTTTCATAGTCTAAATTTTAATCTTTTTTTTGGGGGTCTGAATTATGGGTTTTGCTTTTTGTGTTTATTATTGTTCCTTATCTTGGTCTTTTTGAAAATTACATTGAACTGGCATTGTGGGTTCATCAGAAAACCTATGTTCTATTCTTTTGTTTACATGTTCTAATTATGTTGATTTGTGGTCAGTTCTGTCAAAAATTGAAAAGTGGCAAAAGTTTGTTCTTGACTTTTCTCTTTAGTTGATTTTTCAAAATCAGTTTCCTGAAGAAAAAAAAAATTTGAAAAACTAATCTGGTGAAAAAAAAAATGAAAAACTCGAAACACGTAGGCCTTGTTTGGTTTGTTATTAAGAAAAAAAATTTCATATTTTTAAAAATTATTTGTAACCTCCAAAGATAAAATTATGTAAAAATGATAAGCATTTTTTATTTTTTAATTTCTTTCACCAAATTAATTTTTAATTTTTAAAAAAAAAAAAATCTGAAACAAATTTCTAAAAACTAAACTAAACATGGCCTTATTATTTTCATACAGTACGATTTTCTGGGCGGAAATAATTTTTGAAAAATTATAAAACATAAAAAATAATTATAAACAAGTGGTAAAGTTTATAAATATTAATAATTAAAATCATAATTTTTTCATAAATATGAAATAATTTTTTCAAATTTTTACTGATGGTTAATTTCCCCAGTTATTTTTGTTGAACTAGCTGCTAATTTTTCAAAAAAAATTCAAAAAACCAGTCTTGAAAACTCAACCAAACAAATTTCGGGGTCACCGTCATGCCTGGAATCAATGGTTTATGAGCTGGATACCTTGCTCTTCTTTGTATTGTGGGTTTTCTTTTTTCTTTTACAGAATGTAGAGTAGCAAATGCACAAGACCATTTGTTTTTAGCTGATGAGAAATTCTAGTTCTTATAAGAGCATCTCCAATCATTCATTAGATATTTCATTAAATTTGAGTAAAAAATTGATCTGATACAATGCATTTCAACCCTTTCATCAAATCTGGCTGATTTTCTTGCCAGTCATTCAGACGGTCGTCTATTTAGAGTAAATTTTCATCAAATTCACCCCAAAACCGGTTGTTTGGGAGGACGCTCAGGTAGATGTTCAGCCCAACAATCACCTACAAATTTGATGAAAGTTTAAACGCTCCCTTAATTTGATAAAAAAAAATACAGCTTCCTTCATTTGATACCAAACTGATGAAACGGTTGGAGTATCGTTTTTATCAGTTTTTCATCAATTTAAATTTGATAAAAGATCTAATGAAGGGTTGGAGATGGTCTAAGTTGAGCTGACTCTATTACTTTTATTAAGTTTAAGACTTCTCTCATTATTTTCAGCTGCAATCAGCATCTAATTCATTCAATGTATTATTTGAGGTTTTGATGGGTTTCCATGGAACTTTGGCATTAGACAATTCATTAGGTTTGAGTTTTCTGTCATTGCCTTGTAGGAATTGCATTCAACAATTTGAGACAATGACTTAATGGGTTTTGGAGTTTTGGATTATTTGTATCTGGGAATTTTAGGAAACCATAACTTCGACAACAACGGTAAGATGGTTTCAGCTGGTAATGTCGGAAGATCAGCAGAGCTTTCGCGAGAATTATGGTCCATTAAGGAGACACATGATGGTCATAATGCTAATAATCAGATTTCTCTATCTGCATCAACATCAAGGAAGGGTTTGCTAGGAGAGAGTGATCCTCAGAGCGGACTTGTGGGTATCAAAACAACTCTTCCCGGTAAATTAAGGATCCTAAATTTTGGTTCTGCTGGTGGATTGGCTTCTCCATCGGGTAAATTTCGACAGATAGCCGAAGAAAGGGATGAAATCTCAAAATCCGTGCCTTCTTCTACTGGCCAAGGTCTGCGAGAACGTTTCAATGGTGTTTTTTCTCAGAAAATTGATTGGGCTTCCCTATGGAAAACTGGCAAAGAATGGATAAAAAACCCTTTGAACATGGCGCTTTTTTTATGGATAACTTGTGTTACTGTCTCGGGTGCAATCCTCTTTTTGGTAATGACAGGAATGCTAGATGGTGTTCTGCCAAAGAAATCTCAAAGAAACACGTGGTTTGAGATCAATAATCAAATCATCAACGCTCTCTTTACACTTATGAGTTTGTACCAACACCCGAAGCGTTTCCACCATCTTGTACTCTTGTGCAGATGGAAGCCCAAGGATATCTCCCAGCTTAGAAGTATATACTGCAAGAATGGCACTTACAAACCCAATGAATGGACCCACATGACGGTTGTCATTGTTCTTCTCCATGTGAATTGCTTTGCTCAATATGCTTTGTGTGGTCTTAACTTGGGATATAAACGATCTGAACGCCCCGCTATAGGAGTCGGTGTGTGCCTCTCTGTTGCAATTGCAGCTCCAGCAATTGCCGGTTTGTACTCCATCCTTAGCCCCCTCGGAAGAGAGTATGACTTGGAAGTTGATGAAGAAGCTCAAGATCAAGTTCTCACTGTTCGCAATAGCTGGCCTAGTGTAAAGGTTAAGTCTATGGAGAGGAGATTCTCATTTGCATCAAGAAACAACCAGAGAATTGTTGAGAACAAACCTGTTTGGAGAGGTGGGATATTCGATATCTGGGAAGATATTAATCTAGCATGTCTCTCTATTTTCTGTAGTTTTTGTGTGTTTGGGTGGAATATGGAGAGACTTGGATTTGGCAACATGTATGTTCATATCGCAACTTTCCTACTCTTTTGCACGGCTCCTTTCTGGATATTTAACTTAGCTGCCATTAACATTGATAACGAGACTGTCAGGGAGGTTTTGGGGATAACTGGAATTGTGCTTTGTGTGTTTGGTGTACTCTACGGTGGCTTTTGGAGGATCCAAATGAGAAAGAGATTCAACTTGCCTGCGAATAACTTGTGTTGTGGAAAACCAGCAATTGGTGATTGTGCACACTGGTTGTTTTGTTGTTGTTGTTCTCTAGCTCAGGAAGTTCGAACTGCAGATTTCTATGATATTGTTGAAGATAAATTTTGCAGAAAGCAGATGGGTGAGAATGAGCCCCCAATGTCCCCTTTGCCTCATGAAAATGGATTGTATCAATTTACATCTGATCCAAGTTCTCCATCTTGGAATAGCCCGAGGCTGTACAAGTTTAAAGCAGAAGATTCTCATGGTCCGAGCAGATTTTCAAGAAACAAAAGCGGAACAGATAAAGAGCCTCCCGAGGATAACAGTATGAAGCCACCCATTCCATCATTCATTCAGAGAGAAGATATTATCAGTTAGAAAACTTGAAGACGGTCAAATGCGTTTGACCACTTTGAAGGATACCAAGAGCCGTAGCGTTTTATAGTGTGTGGTAATATATGTAATATTATAAATCATCTTTTTCCGCATCTGTATGCTTTTATATTCTTTGTAGTTTGTTACCTTGATGGTTCCATTTCTTCTATTTGATGCGATTGTCCCGTATTCATTTTAGGTAAATTCTTTTTATCGACTGAACACTGTTGTACTCTAGTATAGATCAATACCTATTTATATATATAGTATGCATCTGAATTTGATCACTCTGTGTTCTTCCTGCTTTCTTTGCATGCATCTTTTTCCACTGTTGACATAGTTAAGTTGCACTAACCAGAACAGGGCGAAGGGGTGGAGGCAGTGGTGCGTTTATGTATTTTATATATAAATGTATATATATTGCGTAGTTGTTGTGGGAAGAAGAATAGAAAGCAATAGGTTTGTTTGGGTGATCTATCTATTTCGTTTTGTTGTTCTTTTTTTTCCCCATATTTCAGTCTGATGTAAATTGGTGCATGCTCATCTTTTTTTCCTTTTACTTTTTTTCTTTTTACTGCAAGTTCTATATTTCGGATCTCTACAGTTTTTCTTTTGCATTGGTAACTTTTATTTTCTGTATTTGGGATTTCATATATTAGTGCAGTCACATTCCAGTTAGAACCCTGTTTTAACTTGATTCTTTCACCCCCAGTAGGTGATTCCTACGCTACGAAAAAACCCATAGGCCACAGCAAGTTAGCAACATCCCTTTGTCCCTTGCATACTTGAAGACTTGGCAACTCGTTTAGCGAAGGAACATGTTAGACTATACAAAAATCTCTTTCTTTGGTGCAATTATTTGTTGATGATTCATTAGTTTGGTTTCTTATTGCAGAAAACTCAAGTGGCCTTTACCATGTTGTGGATAATAATGGGAATCTATTGGTTTGTGCTGTTGATTTGAATGTCGTAAGATACCCTGGTTTTTTGTTAGTAAGAGTGATAGTCCACATTAAGGGAAACTTTGAAGTATGAGAAGACCAAAATTATGTTGGGTTGAGATAGCGAGTAAAGATTGTGTGGAATGAGAAATGGAAATGGGGTGAAACAGTTTTTTTCTTACTCAAATAGTTGGGACATGCCTTTAATGAATTGAGAATTGCAGAGTAGCCCTAGTTTGCATTACAGTTTCCTAAGGTTGTGTTGTAGATCATATATGTACACCATATCTTCGCTGATCAACCGTGCTTCCCGATCTCAAATAATTGTAACTTTCTTACCTGTGCAATGTTTGGAGAGTAAGAAAGTACACGAGGAGTGAGAAACAAATTTATGTTTTATTGAGTTGGTTTTGAAAGTTGATTTGGCTTCACCTTGTCTGAAAGAATGATATGCAACTAGTATGACATTATTCATCCAAAAAATGTTGTCAGTTTATATATGTTTGGCTGGTCTTGAAGGTGTGAAAGTTAAATTTTTATTTTATTTTTTTGTAAAGAATGTTGGTCTAGAGGTCAAACAGCAGAGCGTTAATATGTGTGTATCCAATATGGATGCTCTTAGTGTATCCATCAAAACTATTAACGTGTGTTTTAGTGGTGTGTATTAATAGGTGTGTTATCTGCAGCGAGCGTTTTAATTAGCGAATGGGAGCATTTTTTTGGTCTTACCGATTGACCGGTCAACAGCAAATTATTATTATTATTTTTTTATTTTTTATTTTTTTACTTGTTGAGATTTTTTTTTAGACTTGAAATTTAATTTTGAGTTTGAAATTTTTGATTAAACTAAATTATTTATTTATTTTATTTATTATATACACATTTATATATATATATATATATTTAAAACATACCTTAACACATCTATTGTGTCACCATTCATTCACTGTTCACTCGCTAAATTAATAAACTCTTAACACATATTTTTAGATTTTACTTTTAATATTTTTTATCATATAACAAACATTTTAACACATTTATTGTGGATGCCCTAAATTATGAGGATGACTTCTTTACATTGTTCAAGAACTTACTAGACTGTACAATCTGGTCTCTGGGTGTATCATCAGGGGATTTTTTATTTTTTTAAAATAACCCTGATAAAATTATGTCGTTAGGATTAGTGGATTAATTTATTTATTTATTTTTAATGAATAATTTATGTACAGATATAAAACTGAATACATTAAATTATAATAGTATGACTAATAATGATGAGGTCCACCAATCCGAACTAAACTGATCTAGTCTTATACTACTGTGTAGACCGGAGACAAACCAAATACTATATAATGGTCTTGTGTATGCATGTATGTATGCTAGCTACAAAAAAACAAGTGGTGTTCCAATCCAACCTAACCTATTCATATACTAAATCATAGTCCAGACTTGCATACGTGTGGTGCTGAGTAGAAAATGACTTTGCAAACTTAACACTATATCTATTTGTGGACCTAAATCTCATGTTTAGGTCTTTTGCCTAAAAAAAAAGACAAAAAACACCCAAATCACCAGCCACCACCACCAGCTTCCTACTAGACCACTAGTTTCATTATTGTGCCCAACTGTAGATTCCAGTATTTTCAGATTGTTTGTTGCACTTTCTGTGTATTTCCAAAAAAAAAAAAATTGATGTTAATTGTTAAGTTCTTAACCAGTGTAGTTAGATTGGAAGCTCTCTCAAGCAGTTTTCACATCATGTATACAAAAAGCATTACTGATAATTAAAATATATATGTTCAAGATCATACATTAACTTCCATTTATCTAATATGTTTTACATTCATTTGAGGTCCAATGTTTCCAAGATCACAACAACACCACTACTATCAGATGGCGAGGACGAGCCCGGGCAACGATCGGTTCACCAGATCCTGAGGCTGGCTCTGCCAGAGCGTCGGGCTTTGGTGCCCGATCAGCTCTGTCACCGTCAGCCACGTGTTGAAGTATTCCCTAAACTGGGTTATTAACCCATCTTTTAGGGTCCAAACGTGGACCCAATAGGCTTGTCCTTCCCACCCCTCGGCGATTACACGATCGTCGATGGTGGTGATGCTTCTGGGCTCGAACTTGAACTCGGCTTGATCAGACTCACCGGTGAGCACCCTCATCATGTGTTGGCAATTTTGAGGCCCGTGGAACCACCATTCTAAGTCGCTAGCCAAAACTACGGTCACCTTGTCCACGTCGCCGCCTGCTAGTGCCTTGTAAAGCGCTTTCACCGCCACCATGTTTTGATTTTCCGGCTCTAACGACGACGTTTCGACAATTTTGTCAGCCATTTTTCTGAGATGGAGTGAGTTAGTGAGTGGAGAAGGAATGAAGTGTGAAACTATAGCAGAGAGTACCAGAAATGTGTAATAATATATGGATTGTGATTTCATGCATCCAAAGTGGAACCTTTTTATAGAGAAAATTGAGAGAGAGAGAGAGAGAGAGAATACTCGGTTTTCTGGTGACATGGGTCATCCAACGGTCAAGATTTGCTCCTCAGATGTGGATGTGCTGAGTCATTAGGTGAATATTGGGTAATCCGGAAAGCGGATCTGTAGTGTTTTATAATAGAATTATTTAGCGAAAAAAATGAGGTATTAATTATTTGTGTTAGATAATTGAAAAATATGAGATGGTGATTGATGAAGGAATATGATCATATGGTATTCTGGGATTATTTGATACTCCAAGAACATATATACAATGGAAAATTTTTATTATAAATATGTAATGGGAAGGATTATTGTCTAAATAGAATCTGACCAATAATAAAAAAGGTAGAATAACGTTATAATATTATAAATTCAAAAAAAATTATTCAGAAAAAGAAAATTAAGTCTGAATCCATTTTGAATGTAATACACACAACCCACTAATTTTAAATTTATATTACATAATTAATTTTGGAATAAAATTAAAAATAATTCATAACATTTATTTTTTTGATAATAATATAATAATGATTTTAAAGAAAGAAAAATACAAAACTCAATGCTCTTCTAGGGACGAACGATGAACTTGTCGTTTGAGTTTGATTGACATGTGAGTTATCTTTTTTATTTTTTAGATTTTTAATTATTTTAATTTAGGATTAAAAGTCTCGTTTTTTTAATATTTTAAATAAATTTTTTTAATTTTTATAAAAAAAATTAAAATAATTATAATTTAATTATGATATTTTATATTATTAATTTTTTAATTTATTTTATATATATATATATATATATTTTGACTATTTTAATCCAGATGTAATATTCAAACCAACCCTTTGTACCGTCACCCAGTTGATACACAAATGTATTGTTTGGCAAGTTGATTTGTGACTAAAATAGTCACAAAAGACAAAATAGATTATTTTAGTCACAACAAACAAAGCATCACATTCAATTCATAATCATTACATTCTTCTCTCACAAAAAAAAAAAAAATTCTTCTCAAACCAACTTTTTAATCCAAACTAAAAAAATCAAAAAAGTTAAAAAGTCAACCCATACCCCCAAACGGAGGCAAAATCAACCCAAACAAATCTACTGCTGAAATGACCATATTATCCATGAAGTTGTGTCATTTTGTTAGATATTAATATATGTTAATTTTTGTTTCGTTTTTCCCCAGGGAGCCTAGTTAGATGAATTATAAGTTCTTATTTTGTTTTCTCTCTCTCTCTGTCTCTCATATTCTAGAAATCATGTTTGGAACGAGGGACAAGGGTGCTTTTTAATTTTGTCTCTATCAAGATAAAATCAAAACATTTTGTACACTGTTTAATGCATAATTTTGGCTGCAATTACAAGGTTTAATGACAGTAATAATGGCACTTTAACTGCACTAAGGCCCTGCATTATTTAAGAATAGAGTGACGCTGGAGACCCTAGTGATTAGGCACTCCCAACACCTCCAGTGTCACATAGCACACTGTTAGTGGCTGAAATTTAAAAAAAAAAATATTATTTTCCAGCCAATCAGCAAGGACTCCCAGCACCCTTACTGGGAGTCCAACGCATTTTCCTTAAGAATAATATTAAGAATCATGAAATGTATTATGAAAATTTCTCATCTTTTAATTAAAGTGTAGTATTTTATTGTATATATAATTTAAAGATAAAAAATCTTTCATAATCATTTTCATGATATTTTTTTCATAATCTCTAACATTACTCTTGTGGGTTATCCATAATAATAGTGGTTCATTATATAATTTTTTAAATATGTAGCATTGTCGTACTTAATAAAATTTATTAATTTATTATGCTTGAATACTGCCTAGTTTGGGAAGACTAAATAAGTGCACTTTTTAATTTTTTATGAAATATGGGTTGGGTTTGAAGTGATGTGTTAGAGAGGTAATGTGACTTAAATAAGATGATGTGATTTAAATAGGATAGTGACTTTTTGACTTTTTGTCCTTTTTCAATCATGCCAAAGACAAATATTATTAGACACGTAATAATAGTAGTTCATTATATAATTTTTTAAATATGTGACACTGTTATACTTAATAAAATTTACTAATTTATTTTGCTTGAATACTCAATTTCTATATGTTAACTAATCAATCTTACAACTTATATTTTTTGAATAAGTTAGAAACACAAAAACAGACTACAAATGTTATTAGGCACATAATATATATAAATGGTAAATTTTTTAGAAGTAAATCCCATCCATAAATGGTAAAACCATGTCAGTTCATGTATGTTGATTTCAATGTTCATGAGTTATATGAAATTTTATGTGTGCGCGCGCGCGCTAAAAAGAAATGATTTATTCAAAATCATGATTAGACTGAAGATTTCACACACACCATATAAATGCAATCTCAGATGTATATAATACATTTTTATGATTTGATAAATCACTTGTCATCAAAGCATTTCATGCATGTGGGATGTTGGGTTTGTGTGGCTATGAGAAGAAGCCGCTAAGATTTTGAGAAGATAATATGTGAATAGTCTTATCCTTTGCAATTATGCTAAACCATTGTTAATCTATACAGACAAGAATCATGTCTTTCACATTCCAATCTTCTCATTCCACTGGGGTGTTTTAAAAAGTTGATAAAAAATTATCTCGTAGCTCAAATTTTGTGGCTCAAAAGTGGCTCAAATGGTCAAAACGACGTTGTTTTGGCCATTTTTATGTTGTTCTGTACTCAAAACGACGTCGCTTTGGCCATTTGAGTCACTTTTGAGCCATAAAATTTGAGCTACGTAGCATTGTCGTTTCTATATGTTAACTAATCAATCTTCCAACTTATATTTTTTGAATAAGTTAGAAACACAAAAACAGACTACAAATGTTATTAGGCACATAATATATATAAATGGTAAATTTTTTAGAAGTAAATCCCATCCATAAATGGTAAAACCATGTCAGTTCATGTATGTTGATTTCAATGTTCATGAGTTATATGAAATTTTATGTGTGTGTGCGCGCGCTAAAAAGAGATGATTTATTCAAAATCATGATTAGACTGAAGATTTCACACACACCATATAAATGCAATCTCAGATGTATATAATACATTTTTATGATTTGATAAATCACTTGTCATCAAAGCATTTCATGCATGTGGGATGTTGGGTTTGTGTGGCTATGAGAAGAAGCCGCTAAGATTTTGAGAAGATAATATGTGAATAGTCTTATCCGGTTTGGTTATGGTGTGCAACTTACACCTTACACCTTATATCTTATACTTACATCTTACACTTACACCTTTTGTAAAAAATTAAACCTTACACTTACACCTTTTTTGAGGTTGCACACCATGTGCAACCCACTTACACCTTACACCTTACACTTACACCTTATACTTATACTTACACCTTACACTTATACTTTTTGTGTAAGTGGCACATGGTGTGCACTTGCACACTTAAGAAAACTCTCCTTTGCAATTATGCTAAACCATTGTTAATCTATAAAGGCAAGAATCATGTCTTTCACATTCCAATCTTCTCATTTCACTCGGGTGTTTTAAAAAGTTGATAAAAAGTTAATTTTTGACTTTTTATTAAGTTTTTTGACTTTTTTAGAAGTGAATTGGGAAATTGATAAAAAATTAGTTTTTTTGCTTTTTGATTTAATATTTATTTATGACATCAAATCAAAATAAAATGATCAATATACCCTTGCCAAACTTTGAAATTTTAGGTTATTTATTAACATGGAGAGTATTTAGGTAATTTCACAAGGCAGCTTTTTTGTGACTTCCCAAATTCAAGTCTTGGCGTTTTTGGCAGCTTGGCGTTCTTCTTCCGTGAACAAAAACGTGGCGTTTTTCATCTCTTTCCAAAATGGCACTAATTATAATATAACTACATCATTGAAAAATTGATGTGCCAAATTTGATTATACCCAAAATTTGGTGGTTCAAGCACAAGATTCTCATTCAACTCTATATCCTTCTCCTTTTTCCCGCTTCAAATAGGTGCGTTTGGTAACGTTTATGTTTTCAGTTTATATTTACAAAAATTTTATAAACTGATTTTTGTTTATTTTTTATTTATTTTTAGAAAAACATAAATGGTCAAAACGACGTTGTTTTGGCCATTTTTATGTTGTTCTGTACTCAAAACGACGTCGCTTTGGCCATTTGAGTCACTTTTGAGCCATAAAATTTGAGCTACGTAGCATTGTCGTTTCTATATGTTAACTAATCAATCTTCCAACTTATATTTTTTGAATAAGTTAGAAACACAAAAACAGACTACAAATGTTATTAGGCACATAATATATATAAATGGTAAATTTTTTAGAAGTAAATCCCATCCATAAATGGTAAAACCATGTCAGTTCATGTATGTTGATTTCAATGTTCATGAGTTATATGAAATTTTATGTGTGCGCGCGCGCGCTAAAAAGAAATGATTTATTCAAAATCATGATTAGACTGAAGATTTCACACACACCATATAAATGCAATCTCAGATGTATATAATACATTTTTATGATTTGATAAATCACTTGTCATCAAAGCATTTCATGCATGTGGGATGTTGGGTTTGTGTGGCTATGAGAAGAAGCCGCTAAGATTTTGAGAAGATAATATGTGAATAGTCTTATCCTTTGCAATTATGCTAAACCATTGTTAATCTATACAGACAAGAATCATGTCTTTCACATTCCAATCTTCTCATTCCACTGGGGTGTTTTAAAAAGTTGATAAAAAATTAATTTTTGACTTTTTATTAAGTTTTTTGACTTTTTTAGAAGTGAATTGAGAAATTGGTAAAAAACTAACTTTTTTGCTTTTTGATTTAATATTTATTTATGACATCAAATCAAAATAAAATGATCAATATATACCCTTGCCAAACTTTGAAATTTTAGGTTATTTATTAACATGGAGAGTATTTAGGTAATTTCACAAGGCAGCTTTTTTGTGACTTC